TTTTTTATATATAATTCCACATGTAAATATTCTTATAACATTTACTTGCTTAGTCCTACATATAAAATTGTTTACTTTTATTTATAAGTACGTGAAAATAATTCTTAAAATGTGGGGTTAGAATAACAGCAAACGCATGTTTTATAAATGCTTTTTTTTAGTTATTATTTTATTTGAGTAAATTTAAATGGTAACAATGAATAAACAAAACATCAAAGATTTTATTTTTGTGCTCACTTTTGTTCTACACGTTTTACTTTTAAAGATTTCAGTACCTAAAAACGCCAGAAATTTCACTATTTCTCGGCCAGGAATATGGCCACCTTAAGGGAATACTCCAACATCCTATACAGGGTGGTCCCGAGGTAATGGGCCAAAATTCATGGGTAAATTCCCGAAGCAAAAATGTTGCGGATTAGCCGAACTTACCTTAGTCCAAAAGTTGATAGTTAAAGAGATACAGGGTGTTAAATGTAAAATATTATTTTAGTTTATTTCCATTTATTTCTTAATAAATGCAAATATCTACACATCTTGGATAGAGAATTGAAATTTGTTCACATTTTGGTTACAGTTCATAGAGGGCGCCAGCTGCCGTAGATTGAAGGTGTTGGAAACGACTTAACTTTTTTGTACTTAAAGGTATCTCATCTTTAGTATCAAATTCTTATTTTCCAACTTTTTTTACACAAATAAGGTAGACTTTATGAAAGTAGCTGTCTCGCACCGTTTCCGTGATATTTGGCTTTGAAACTTCTAATGCTAATAGTTGAAATAATTAAAATAATTTAGAAATGTCAAAAACAAGGGTTTATTTAGAATTAAAAATTGTAATAAACAGTAAAATAGTAAACATTAGTAAAAAATATGCCTTTTTGACAATAATTGCTCAAAATGTCCTCATCTAACTTCAAAACATTTATCAACACGTTTATTAAAAGATTGTCTTATTTTAAAGTATAAATCCTTAAAGCAAAATGACTGCAGCATTTAAAACCTGCTACTAAAGTTCTTCTTTCTTAAGTGTTTATAGTTTCTCCATAAAAACTGACTGCATATAACTCCAAAAACGAAAACCTCGGCATTCTATCTCACATTTATGTATACCAGTATACAATTTAATTTGTAAGCTAATAATAAGACAAGTGGAAGACGTCAATTATTTTATTTTCGTCCAAATCCTACTTAAGAAACTTTACCCCTAAATTAATAATACCTGTAGGTAATTAATTGTAATTTAATGCAACAGCATTGGAAGTTTCAAAGCCAAATATCTCGAAAACGGTGCAAGATAGCTACTTTAATAAAGTATACCTTTTTTGTGCAAAAAAAGTTGGAAAATAAGAATTTGATACCAGACATCAGATACCTTAAAGTACAAAAAAGTTATGTCGTTTTTAACACATTCAATCTACTGCAGCTAGCGCCCTCTATGAACTTTAACCAAAATGTGAACAGATTTCAATTCCTCTACTCAACGAACTCCAANTCGTGTACAAATTTTGACATTTTTATCTGTAGCCGATTTAAAGATAATTAAGGAAAACCATTTGGAAAGTAACAACTTCAACACACTGTATCTCGAAAACAGGGGGTCTAAGAAAAAAACTTTATATGAACAACCCCTATTATTTTCCCATGAGGAACTCGCACACAAGTTTTTTTGAAACATGAACGGGACACCCTGTATAACTCAGTGGATCTAGTGAATATTTTGTGAATTACATTAAAAAAAATATCCAGCTATAATAAATCCTCAGTGTTCTAGGAACCTCTTGTCTCTTCATATTATTTCATCTTCATCCATAATCTTCTCAATAAAAAATTTAAAATATGGAACATAATTCAAAGTTCTCAAAAACATAATACACACCGTTTTTATAGAGAATTTTATGCTGTACAACTTTGGTCCTTTGCATGTTTGTGAAATTCCTAATACTTTTCAAGTTATTCACGAAATAATTTCTTTGCAGTTTTCCGGCCATTTTAACTAGGGCGATTCAACGGGACGCAGTGGGCCAATTTCGTAAAGAAAATGCAGTGAAAATAATGTAGGAAAAACGTTGTAAATATCTGAGCGATAGCTTGTGTGAATGGAAACATCTTATATCCGGACTTATCCAAATTAAAAGGTTAGTTTTTTATTTTTATTGAAAATTAAAAAATATTTGACTTAATAAAGTTCTAAATTGTGCTTAAAAGGGCCCCATATTCTTTAAATAGTGTTTTCCGTAAAGACAAATAATTTCAAACATTTAATAACTGAATAATCTAAAGCTTATCAAATAATAGGAATGTTATGTCATGCCACCTGNGGACTAAGGTAAGTTCGGCTAAATCGCAATATCTTTACTTGGGAAATCTACCCATGAATTTTGGCCCATTACCTCGGGACCACCCTGTATATTGTCAAAGATGCAGCAACGATTTCACAAACAATTCGTTCATTGTTATTCGCCGAACTTGAAAATAACCAACTGTTGTAACGTAACTGTAGTTATCTTTATGTTCACCTAGTCGTAGGAATGGTACTCTTAAAATCAACTATCAAATTACAAATGTCATGTGAAAAATATAAAAACAAAAATAAATATCAGTCTTTTTCAAGTTGCTGTTGCTAAAATCACCTGGAAGCAATTTATTTCTTGAAAACGGGATTAGAAATGCATCTTACTGATGTGTTGATTCAGAAGAAAGACCTAGAGGAACATGAAGAAGACGTACCTTGTATCTAAATGCCACAGCATGATCTTGCTGAAAATGTTGATCAGCGTGTTGTCTTGGAATTCGTCGATACAGACGTGGTTGAAGTGTCGAGAGAACCTAGGAGTGATAGTGTTGCCTCCGCCACCTGGTGGACACATAGCGCACATGAACTGAAACAAAATTAAAACGTACCATAGTATAATGGATAGGTACAGTTCTGCTATGAACCTTTTCCCAGTAGTGTTTTATTACCTGGATGTCTATTAGTTTCATGGGTACGATCTCCTTTCGGTCGTACCACATCTCGTGGTCGAACCATTGCCTCAACAGTTCAATCGGCGGCTGAGCACCGTAGATTTCTTTGAGAGGCATATTGACGTCGTCTACGAATATCACGCATCTTTTCGTTACCGGAGGCCCAAACACGCCTGAAATGAAAGGAAAAATAGTATATCTTGATCAAGTTATTGATCATTCAAGTTATCTCTAAAGCATGCGAAAATTGATGTTAGAGTTTAAAGGATTTCGTGGCAGCTGTAAATGGTTAATCTGTTTTCTCTAAAACCAAGGTGTCAGTTCTAACGGAATATGAAGGATCATCAGGATCAGGAACTAGAACACCTACGCACGGCCCTGAGAGGGAATGGAATCAGGAGGAGACACACGCCCATAGAGAACCAGGAGTACTTAGCGACGACGTATCTACCTTATATGAAAGGTTGTACAGATAAAATCGGACGCCTTTCGAAGAAGAGGAATATCAACATAGTATTCAGCACTGTAAAGAAGGTGGCGGCAGCGTTTCCAGATACCTGCAACAACGACCAGCTCCAGGGCCCTGGTGTGTACAGTATTCCCTGCTCTCGCGGAAAGGTCCACATACGACAAACAGGAAGGCACATCAACATGAGGTCAAAGGAACACAAAAGTCACCTCAAAAATAACAACTGGGAGACATCGGCAGTAGTAGAGTATAGGGCGGACACGGTACACACAGTGGATCTGAGTGAAGCCAACATGGTGGTGAGAGAGAGAAGATTTTGGCCCCGTACTATACAGAGAAGCATTACAAAAATCTGAACAATTTCAACAGGTACGGTAGCGTGGATCTGCCAGGCATATGGAAGAGAGTCATCCGTGAAAGCAACCCACTGGAACGTCAACAAGGCGTACGATGGTCACCCACCGGACCGTTATGGATCAGTGACCACATCAAATATAAATAGTAACAACATTAGCAGATCTCCAGTTTCAGAGTAACTTTTGAAGAAGAGAGCAATAGCTCTCTCGAAACGTCAAGAGTTGTATATCGACGACGTGGCAACCAGCCTGGAAATCATTCAACCATATGACAGAAAAATTTCTGAAACACATTAATGAAATATATCACATCAGTTTGTCTACAGGGTGGTCCGTAAGTAATGGTCCATAGAGACATACTAGATTTTTTACTTTAAAATATTACGATTGGAGCCAACATGCCTTAATAAAATGCTGATAACAAAAAAGATACAGGGTGTCAAAGTTAAAAATTAAAAATTGAATTTTCGGAATAATTATAATATTTTTGAGTGTATGAACGTGAAAATTTAGGGGTAGATGTTTCTGTATACGAGAAATCATAATTTGTTATCTATTTCGATGTATCTTCTAGAGGGCGCCACATACGCCGTGTTTATGACGTAAATACGAGCATAATTTTTTTATCCACAACGTTAACGCTTCTTTTTTTAAAAAATCTTAAACCTACATTATTTTCGTGAAAAAATGGTATACTTGTCATTAGCTNTGAAAAATAAGAATTTGTTACCAAAGATGAGATACCTTAAAGTACAAAAAAGTTATGTCGTTTTTAACACATTCAATCTACTGCAGCTAGCGCCCTCTATGAACTTTAACCAAAATGTGAACAGATTTCAATTCCTCTACTCAAAGAACTCCAATCCCCAAAATTTTGTGAAGATATTTGCATTTTTTAAGGAATAAATTTAAAAAAACTGAAATAATATTTTACATTTAACACCCTGTATCTCTTTAACTATCAACTTTTGGACTAAGGTAAGTTCGGCTAAATCGCAATACCTTTACTTCGGAAATCTACCCATGAATTTTGGCCCATTACCTCGGGACCACCCTGTATATTGTCAAAGATGCAGCAACGATTTCACAAACAATTCGTTCATTGTTATTCGCCGAACTTGAAAATAACCAACTGTTGTAACGTAACTGTAGTTATCTTTATGTTCACCTAGTCGTAGGAATGGTACTCTTAAAATCAACTATCAAATTACAAATGTCATGTGAAAAATATAAAAACAAAAATAAATATCAGTCTTTTTCAAGTTGCTGTTGCTAAAATCACCTGGAAGCAATTTATTTCTTGAAAACGGGATTAGAAATGCATCTTACTGATGTGTTGATTCAGAAGAAAGACCTAGAGGAACATGAAGAAGACGTACCTTGTATCTAAATGCCACAGCATGATCTTGCTGAAAATGTTGATCAGCGTGTTGTCTTGGAATTCGTCGATACAGACGTGGTTGAAGTGTCGAGAGAACCTAGGAGTGATAGTGTTGCCTCCGCCACCTGGTGGACACATAGCGCACATGAACTGAAACAAAATTAAAACGTACCATAGTATAATGGATAGGTACAGTTCTGCTATGAACCTTTTCCCAGTAGTGTTTTATTACCTGGATGTCTATTAGTTTCATGGGTACGATCTCCTTTCGGTCGTACCACATCTCGTGGTCGAACCATTGCCTCAACAGTTCAATCGGCGGCTGAGCACCGTAGATTTCTTTGAGAGGCATATTGACGTCGTCTACGAATATCACGCATCTTTTCGTTACCGGAGGCCCAAACACGCCTGAAATGAAAGGAAAAATAGTATATCTTGATCAAGTTATTGATCATTCAAGTTATCTCTAAAGCATGCGAAAATTGATGTTAGAGTTTAAAGGATTTCGTGGCAGCTGTAAATGGTTAATCTGTTTTCTCTAAAACCAAGGTGTCAGTTCTGACGACATATGACGGATTATCAGCGAGCCAAGACACTTGGCCGAAAAACTAGAACACGCACGGCCCTGAGAGAGAATGGAATCAGGAGGAGACACACGCCCATAGAGAACCAGGAGTACTTAGCGACGACATATCTACCTTATGTGAAAGGCTGTACAGATAAAATCGGACGTCTTTTGAAGAAGAGGAATATCAACACAGTATTCAGCACTGTAAAGAAGGTGGCGGCAGCGTTTCCAGATACCTGCAACAACGACTAGCTCCAGGGCCCCGGTGTGTACATTATTCCCTGCGCTTGCAGAAAGGTCTACATAGGACAAACAGGAAGGCACATCAACACGAGGTTAAAGGAACACAAAAGTCACCTCAGAAATAACAACTGGAAAAAATCGGTAGTAGCAGAGCATAGGGCGGACACGTGACACACAGTGGATCTGAGTGAAGCCAACATGGTGGTGAGAGAGAGAAGATTTTGGACCCGACTATACAGAGAAGCATTATAGCTGTTTTACATTGACAATTTATTCATCACTAAATTGACGAAGTTCTTCAACAATTAATTCACGAATTTATTGGTAAACAGTGTGGTTTTACACTGCTATAGACTTTGTCAAGTTTTTTGACGTATGAATCAGTTCTACCAATGAATCAAAGAAGCAAATAAATTTCAAAAATGTCACCTTTCCACTCATAATTGTAGTGATACCGCGGTACCGTTCTGACACATATTATATAAATATTAGTTTTTGTAAATAACAAAACAGTAAAAACAATGCAAAACTAGCACGACGCCACACAATTATTTACATATTCTAATAACATAACCTCATTACTGATCTGAGGCTGGAAATCTGTTGGGTTGGTACTTCCGAACTTCACGAAGAAATTGACGAAAATTAGAACATGCTCTAATTCGTCAAGAACTTGATGAATAAATTGACGAAGTTATTTGACAGCTGATTTGGTGCATTACACTTGTCCAATTTCTTGATGAAGCGACTTCATCAATTAATTGATCAATAAATTGTCAATGTAAAACAGCTTTTAGAAATTTACAAGAATCCGAACAATTTCAACAGGGACGATGGCGTGGATCTGCCAGGCATATGGAAGAGAGTCATCCGTGAAAGCAACCCACTGGAACGTCAACAAGGCGTACGAGGTCACCCACCGGACCGTTATGGATCAGTGACCACATCAAATATAAATAGTAACAACATTAGTAGATCTCCAGTGTCAAAGTAACTTCTGAAGAAGAGAGCGATATCTCTCTCGAAACGTCAAGAGTTGTAAATCGACGACGTGGCAACCAGCCTGGAAATCATTCAACCATATGACAGAAAAATTTCTGAAACACATTAATGAAATATATCACAACATCAGTTTGTCTATAGAGATGGAAGGAAACGGTTTCCCTTCCACTTCTGAATCTACTTGTTGAGAAAAAAAGGTGCCCAGCGTTTACAGAAAGCCAACCTACAGGAATTTTGATTCTCATCTTCATCAGGTTTAAAACCAGGATAAGTACCTTCGACAACCAAATTCGGAGATCATATATTTTGCGAAAAAGAACACTTGGATGACAGATCTAAGTAATATCAAAATTTTAATAAATACTAGAAGAATTTTGCCAAGACTCTATAGACAAACAATAGAAATCCAGAAAAATAATTTCGACCGAGATCGAGACTTAGAACTACTTGGAATTTGGAAACCACTAGACAACACATTCAGAACCGGAACAGAACAGATAAGTGACTTCAAATCATGCACCAGAACGTGAACTAGTACATACAGCAAACATAAATACCGGTTAGGGGACTTAATCACCTGTCTCAGAGTTTCTTCCGACGAAGATGGCGATATATCTTTCAAAAATTGAAGAAGTCTAAACTGACGACGAGGCAACCAAGCCAGAAATTGTGAACTCATTTATAACAGAGACTAAAGATTGATATCATGTTTTTTTTAACAATCTAATTTAGTTGAAACAATTAATGTAATAAGCGACTTACCTTTTCTTCTTTTATCTAACTTGGACATGATGATGTCTTGAGTTTGGTTGGCGGTTGTTTGTGCGGAGAAATTGATGAATAGTGGTATGTAGGTACTGGTATCGTTTTTCTTCAACAGGAAATCCTAAAAATAACAAAAGAAACGTTAGTTCACTGTTAGTGAAATTAATACTACAAAACATTTCCTTACAGTAACATATACTGATTTCCCTGTACCGGTCGGCCCAATAATGATCATAGCCTTTTGGTGCTGCACCAACAGCTGCATCAGAGCAATATTCCTGATGGTTTCCACGGTAGTGACGATTATTTGATTAACTGGAATATCCCTAGGTATGGGAGGGGAATTCATAAGCTCATCAGACCACAATTTCCATTTGCCTTTGCCCTTGAATTAACAATAATTTTATTTAAAAAAACTCCACCAAACCCATTGTTTTACCTCTTTAATAAAACGATAGTCGAAAACAGTCTCCCCAATAGGAATCGAGAAGATATATGGCTTCTCCGGCTTATGGATCTCGAATGGAATGTGCAAAGCCTCTTTCACTTTTTCCGGAAACTCCTTCTCCAGCAAACCCCTGAAGAGCATGCTGAACTTCGGTCTGCTGTCTATGTCTATCGTGGCTCCGAGCGACCAGATGCAGGCGAAGAAGAAGGATCCCTCCAGCTGGGCCCTAACATCGAGGTCGGAAACTTGTTCTCTGAATTTCTCGTCATAGAAATCGTCCATGAAACAATCGAAAAGGTTCATCGCGGATTTTAGAAGGTTGTGATCCGAGCTGGATATAATTTCCTGCAAACAAGTATAATATTATTATTATTATTCCTCTGTGTAAATATGTATGCATACATGATTTTAAAATCAGCAGTCGCATTTCACGTTTGAGACTAGATATTGTGAGTTAATTGGTGGGAGTTAATTGGTTAAATGGTTACAATATTATTATTTAAAAACTTTGCTTCCAGGAGTATGTTTGGTATACATTTGTGAGGATATGAATTGAAGTCTGGTTCTAATTTGTCAAATATTTCTCATTATAATTTTTGTGCTTACCTTGACACCTCCCTTTCGAATTAGCCACAGCAGCGGCCTGCAGAACCTCAAGAACAAATTGTAAATCATGTTTTTGTAGAAATCGTTGTTTATAAATGTAGGTAACGTATTTAACCAAGATTGCAATAGGGGTTCCCATCCCAAAGATCCCGGTTCCATATAGATCATTCCACATCTCGACACCTGAAATAAAAGTATGCAATTTGCTGCCTTCGGAGTTGCTCGACGAGTAAATGCAAATAGACAAATTGATAAAATTTGATTTTATACAAATAGTTACCGTGGCAGGAGACGCCACATCCAAATCCATAGGCTCGAATATTAAATTCGTGGTATTGGAGAGTTGAATGATCTCTCCGGACATCAAGCACAACTTCTTATTGTCGTCCAACACCGTGTTCATGTTTTCGATCCATACGGCGTCGACAGGTCCGTCGAAAATCAACCACTTCCTATTTAAGATTTCGAAAAACGTTAATAGAAAGATGAATATTTTGCTCATGAAAAGTGGGAAGTGTTAACAAATGAAATATAATAAATACACAGCCACATACAAGAAAAGTGGTCTGTTCCTTTGATCAGACCCTATTATTGCTACATATTTGACCCACTGGACACGCTGAGGTTAATATGACGACAGTATCTATCATTTTTCAGAAAATAGTCCCCAAATTCTCAAAAAACGACAATATGCCTGATTGTAACAAGTGGAAGACGCTGGTCCATATACTGGATTCCATAATACTACTCCCATATTTTCGGACCCGCTGAAATTGAATCTGAAGTCAGTTTGGCACGAGCACCCACCATATTCGAGAAAATGCCAACTAAATTCAAAAAAACTTGTGTTTCAAGAATATTTATCCTTTAATTAACGTTTTCGATTATAGTGAATTCTTTTATCTTGAGGATTGTAAGAAGTGGAATACACTGGTCCATATACTGGATTCCATAATCCTATTCCAATATTTTCAGACCCGCTGAAATTGAATCTGAAGTCAGTTTGGCACGAGCACCCACCATATTTGAGAAAATGTCGACCAAATTAAAAAAAACTTGTGTTTCAAGAATATTTATCATTTAATTAACGTTTTCGCTTACAGCGAACTCTTTTATTTTGAGGATTGTAGCAAGTGGAAGACACTGGTCCATATACTGGATTCCATAATCCTACTCCCATATTTTCAGACCCGCTGAAATTGAATCTGGAGTCAGTTTGGCACGAGCACCCACCATATTCGAGAAAATGCCAACTAAATTTAAAAAAACTTGTGTTTCAAGAATATTTATCATTTAATTAACGTTTTCGCTTACAGCGAACTCTTTTATTTTGAGGATTGTAGCAAGTGGAAGACACTGGTCCATATACTGGATTCCATAATCCTATTCCAATATTTTCAGACCCGCTGAAATTGAATCTGAAGTCAGTTTGGCACGAGCACCCACCACATTCGAGAATATGCCCACTAAATTTTAAAAAAACTTGTGTTTCAAGAATATTTATCATTTAATTAACGTTTTCGCTTACAGCGAACTCTTATTTTGACGATTGTAACAAGTGGAAGACACTGGTCCATATACTGGATTCCATAATCCTACTCCCATATTTTCAGACCAGCTGAAATTGAATCTGAAGTCAGTTTACCACGAGCACCCACCATATTCGAGAAAATGCCAACTAAATTAAAAAAACTGGTGTTTCAATGATATTTATCCTTTAATTAACGTTTTCGCCTATATCGAACTCTTTTATCTTCAAAAAATATATATAGTGGGTTCTCTTTCCCTTTGCACCTATTTTTTTTCAACATACTGACACACAAACCTGATTCCTTTTTTCCATTCCCATTAACTCTTGGTGAAATCATTCATCATGCTTTTCGCGATAATCAAAGTGAAGTTTCACGACAGTGAAGACGTAGGATGGAAAGAAACATCAAAATCAGAGTGAATTGAATGATTTTATTCTCAATCCTCAGATTAAGCTGAATATTTAGCTAGAGAACTAAAAAAGAAAAATCTTCTATCTGAGGGAACCAAATCTTATGTGTATCGATCAAGAGAAAGATATTGTCGGAAATATTTTTTTTCAGATGAAGAGGGTACGTTAGTGTCCTATTTCGACGTTAAAAGTGGAGGCTATTCATGGACTCCTCACTGAGTGTCATGATGTTACCCAAAAAATGTCAGAAAACCTGAAATATCGCGCATTTGAAAGTGATTGAAGATGAAAAACTCTTGCGTCAGAATGAAATTCGTTTTTATAACATCAAGATACATAGGAAAAACCGGGTCTGATCTAAAAGACAAAAACTTTTCTTTGTCAGCTTGTGTAGTTTAAGGCATTCTGCAAACATAGTCACACCAACATCTTATTCTCACCTGTCTTCTGAAGTGGACATGGCAAACTGTCTAAAGCTAACAGCGAGCACCCCATCCGACCACTCATGCGAAACCGGATCGAATTGGCCGTAAAGTTGCCCCATCGTGATAGACTTCGGATTCATGATTGTGTAAATAGCTCTGTGCTCGTCCATTCCGCCCTACAATGTTACATGATATAAAACAAGACCAACGGAAAAACATGTTCAGATTCCTACCCTTTCCTCCACAAGAGCCAAGGCATCGGCTAGCACCCTGTAGCAAGTCGTCTTCCCGGCGAAAGGAAAACCTACCAGCATCAGGCCGTGCCTCACCACTATCATTTCGTACAACTGCTGGATTTTTTCGAGGAAGAACTGAGTACATTGGACGTTCCTCACCTTGCAGGCATCTTCCACCGCTTGGTTCAGGATGACGTAGTCGGGTTCCGGCAACACCACGCCGGGGAACAAATCAGATGTGATTCCCTGCACGAAGAAACATATATATAGAAATTGCTTTGAGGATAGATATGTGTTTATTTACATGGAACAATGGGACGTCGTGGACCAAAAACTTGGCTAGATTGACATCTTTGATGGATCTCAACACCAAGATGTCTTCCTTCTCATCAGGATAACGCAGCTTCAAAGCACCTGCTGCTCTTAGTACTGATTTTACAGCTCGCATTCCTAAAATACAATTATATAAGGTGTAACAGAAGTGCTGTGATAAACTAGACTGATGCCTCTCATCAAAAGAATCAGACGAACAAGAGAAAGTCCTCTTCTAAGTCGCCTATGAACCTTCAGGTGAAATTTTTTTCTACGGTTCATTTCGAGATACAGTGTTGGAATTAAAAAAGAAAACGTGACATTAAAATGTTACTTAAAATATTGGTGTAGATTGGGGGTCATGGCTTGACTAATTATGAGCAAAATTAAATAGTGACGGAGATACTGGGAGATGCCATGCTGCCACTAAGAACCTCAGAATTTCAACGCCACTGACATTTTGGAAATTGGATAAGTGCATTTAATTCCGTTTGGTGTTTCTAGTACTTTTTCCTAAAGAGGAGCCATTTTTGGATAGTTATTTTTTTAATTTGAAATAAGTATTCGCCATATTTGAAAGTCGATAATAAGTACAAAACTATTTGTTTCACGAACAAAATTGTAGGAATTTTCTGTCAAAAATATAATTTTATATACAAAATCAGAAGCTAAAGAAATCATTGACATAGCAATTTTAAATTTTTATGATATTATTATGCCTGAAAAAGTTTCAACGCCTGTAATTATATACTGTTTATAATTATAGTTAAAATTTAATTTATGACAAAAAATTCCTATATTTTTTTGTGTATCTCGGAAATTGAATGTTCTACAACCTATATTTATATGAACTTTTTTTTTATTTTGCAGTGCTCCATCACCAGGTCAACTTTAGCGTGTACAATTTGGGATATCCTACATAATCGAAAACCATTAAAGATAATTTTAATTTTAATTTTTTTTTAAACCTTTTACAGTGAAAATCCTTTTCAATAAGATAATCACTTGTAGAATTTAAGCAAAAACTAACCAATAATAAGCGTCGGAATCGTGAGGAATTCGAGAAAGAGAGATTGAAACTGTCCTTTGTTGAAGAGAAACTTATTTTTTAAATTGACAGAACATTAACGGTTTTAAACTGTTCATATTGTGGGATACAACTTCTCTGCGGACTAATGCCCCGACCAGCATTGTAATTTAATGCTTACTGGTAATATCATCAGTTTAAAAATCAGTTTAAAAAAGCGACACAAGTCTTGACTTCGTAATACCTACGAAATAGCAGGTCACTCTTTGCCAATTCGGCCATACGCCTTGAAGCGACCATACTGACAAGAAAGACACACTATTTTGCAGCTACTGTGCAAGTAAGACTTGTGCCGCCATTAGTCGAAACAACTTTTAACTGATGATATTACTCGTAACAACTGCTCCGCGAACTAATGACCAATATTGAATTGTAGCTGCAATATCGAGTATACACATAGGATCACCGAACCATCAGAAATGTACCAGTTTCGAACTTATCAATTGATTCTCATTAGTATGCCACAGGTAGTTCAACATACCTTCTATATTTATATCAGTGTCATTTTTCACATTAGACATACAGACAAAAACTAATAAGTTCGAAACCGGTGTATATGTATGGTGGTTAGGTTTACAAATGATCCTAGGTGTTTATTTGATATTATGGGTTTATTTCAATACTGGTCGGAGTTGGGATCTCCATAATAGTTGTATCCCACAAGAGCATCAGTTTAAAAGTTAGCTGAAAATCAGTATAATCCTCGCAGTTTTGTACAAATTTTTTGCAGGGTAATTAGAGAGACTCCAGGAATATTTGAGCGAATACGTGGCTCAATGNACTAATGACCAATATTGAATTGTAGCTGCAATATCGAGTATACACATAGGATCACCGAACCATCAGAAATGTACCAGTTTCGAACTTATCAATTGATTCTCATTAGTATGCCACAGGTAGGACAACATACCTTCTATATTTATATCAGTGTCATTTTTCACATTTATAGCATACAGACAAAAACTAATAAGCTCGAAACCGGTGTATATGTATGGTGGTTAGGTTTACAAATGATCCTAGGTGTTTACTTGATATTATGGGTTTATTTCAATTCTGGTCGGAGTTGGGATCTCCATAGTAGTTGTATCCCACAAGAACATCAGTTTAAAAATTAGCTGAAAATCAGTATAATCCTCGCCGTTTTGTACAAATGTGCATACTTTTATTAATTGTAGAGAAATTTAAGAAAAAAATTCTCTTATTTTGGAAGTGGTCTATATAAATTTGTGAAAGAAAATTTTCTTTAACATCAAATAACCATTTTGAGAGCCTAAACCATCAGATTTTTTCTAATTTGGACGCCACTTGTTTTTTATTAAAATTTTATTTAATGTAACTGCTATGAAAGAACTGCACTGTACCAAGTTTGAAGGAATCAAGGACTGTGTTTCACTTTCAACATTTGGAAGACATAACCGTCAGGAAATGCCTTTGGAAAAATACCCTTGTTTTCCGTTCACTTTAAGGGAGGAATAAGTACTAGGAGATTGTCGCTATATCAAAATTACATTTTTATTTTTTTATCTGTTAAAAATGGAGTTGAAGCCAGAAACTTCAAAATCATGAATGAATAAGACGTATCTGGGCAAATATCAAACTAAGCAAAGTTAAGAATGATTACAATGAGGGGTGAAGTTTCAGCAACAAAACCAGAAAAGAAAGGAATAGTAACGTTTTCATAAAGACAAAAATCGAAAACGAAATAAATGGGAAAGTTTGTCTTTACACAAAAATATCTTTCAAAATCTTTTGATTCAAACTATTTGGATTTCAAAAACACTTCAAGCACAAATCTGTCAAAGAAAGAGAAAGATTCAGCCTTTTGAATATACGACCGATACATTATTTAAACATTTTTACCACAGAATATTTTCCTTATAAAGAAGGAAAAGACATTCATTTGCTTGAAGTTTTTTTCAATTAAATTTTTAAGTTTCTGGGTAAGAAAACTCTAAAGAAGAGATCAATTTCGAAACGTTAAGTCAAAACCGATGACGTGGCAACCAGCCTGGAAATAACTACCACGAAAGTTTGCGAAAGGCGAAGATATTCCTTCGCTCCAAATGATGAAGTTAAAAAAATACTGATTTCAGCATTGACATACGTACTAGCACTTACCATAATCATAGTGACACTGCGACGACAACTGCTCCGAGCACAATCGATACGTAGCAACGATTTTGATCGCCAGAGGTTTCGCCGTCAAGAACCCGAAGGCGTACAACTCTATTTCCGATATCAAAGCGTAGTCGGGAACCATCATCGCGACGGATCTGAAGAGGGCCTTCAGGTTATCCGGCAACTCCGATCTACCCGCGTAACCGGGATTCATCGTGATGAACACCGCGCAGGTCGGATCCAGCTTCAGCTCGGTGCCTTCGAAGAAGAGCTTCTCGTTGCCGGAATTAATACCTCTCTGGATAGTCAGGATCTGTTGGGCGACGACGGAGAGCACCTCCAAGTCTATACGGTTGAACTCATCGAAACATGACCAGGCGCCGCAGGAAGCTAATCCCTGAAATTATCCCGAAAGGTTAACATAAAATTGTTTCTCACTAGAGATTGGATGAACCTTAAAGAATTTGCCTAGGGCGAGGTAGTCTAAACCGTCGGAACAGTTGAAGACGACGCACTGTTTGGCGACGGCTTTGGCTAAGTCCTTCGTCGTTTCCGTTTTTCCTGTACCCGCAGGTCCTTCCGGAGCTCCACCTAAAAGATTCTCAGTTGAAATGTGGAATAGTCCAAGGGGCAACTGCCAAAATTATGTCCAGGAAATAGTCAAGAAAAACGTTCTAAATGGAATTTAATGCACAAAATTGTATGAAATTGCTACATCAGAACACTAATTTGTATTACCTACACAAATACTTGAACATCTATAAAAGTTATGTTTAGGATTAAGAGATAAATCAATCATGTACTGGGGAATATTTTTGCTGAAATGATTACAGCTGTGCATGTCAAGGCCTTCAAAATGCCAAACTGGCAGCGAGCAGCCTGTTATTTCCAAGCACTATGAAAGCAACACCTATGTTGCTACTTAGTCCAACCAAATTACACTTGGACTTTTATAAGTGGAAATGGTAAAGGGGCCTATAATGAACGTAAAAAAAATAAACGCCTGAGCAGGGGTGGCGGAGGGTTGATTTGCGGGGTTGAAAAATTGTGAAAAATTGTATCATTGGGATTTCTGGGAAAAATGCGAAAAGTAGGTTTTTTTCTTATTTTTCGTTTTTTATTTCTCATTTCCGTAAAAATAATTTAATTTTGACGAAACTTGGTGAAAGTATACCTTTCTGTGTCGTAAACAACCACAAATTTTTTTAGATAAAAACATCAAGAAGTTTCCGAGATATTCATTTTTTCCGGTTTTCAAATTTTTCTCGGAAATGTTGAGGTTATCTTAAAAAATTACTTCCACAAAAGTTGTAGATTTTCGCATGATGTACAACTTTTGTATTGGATACTTTTTTGTTTGACGTCAAATTTCGCCAGAAATCCCAATGATACAATTTTTCACAACTTTTCAACCCCCCAAATCAACCCTCCGCCACCCCTGCTCACGCATTTATTTTTTTTATGTTTATTATATGCCCCTTTACCGCCTATAAAGTCCAGGTAACATTTTTTTTCTTCTAAATGAGTTATTTCGATCGGTCTATACTAGACGACACAATTTATAAACCGATGGAGAAAAAACTACTCTGTGAACTAATTCCTCGACCATTCATTCTCTCAATATATAATAAACAGCATAATTCGCAGCCGAATATCTGCTATGTTAGACTGACGAGTGATCCTAGTTGTTTACTAGATATTGGGAGTAGAATTCAATTCTAGTGGGGGTGTTAGTCCGCAGAGTCGTTGTTTCCTGCAATATTATCGGTGCACATCTTGTTTTTAAGATATTTCAACACTTTTACGTGTCTCTCCACATTCTTGTTGTCTGTGCTGTTTCCCAAATCTACCTTTTATTTTACATCACATTTTCTTTCACTTTGTTAATCCATCTTTTAGAAAAGAAAATAATTCACTAAAGACTGCCACCTGTTTTGTCACTCACCGTATTTTGACAGGAAAAAAATAACGCAATTGGCACATATTCTTTTTCTCAGAACATGCATGTATAATTTTTTATAAAAAAAAATAATGAATATTCAAGAACATGCTACTTCCGAAACATTTCCGCGTTATAATTATAAACTCTTCCAAAATTATCAGCACTGAATAAACCACAGATTCAACTTACCTAAATGCAGATGTAAAGCTCCAAACAACGTTCTGTAACATCTGTCAGTCAATGGAGTCACCACCAGCCTTGGGGTATTCCCCAAATACTCATATCCGTATTTTAAAGTGGAATTAATCATGGAAGTGATCATTTGATTGCCCTGTGGAAAACTATTTTGTAACAGTATTTTATTGCTTTCATTCATATTACCTCCCAGTAGTAACGAAGTTGGCACAACCACTTGAAGTCGTTCACGTTCTTAACCTCCTCGGTGATCATTCCCGATAACACATCCCTGGCATGAACATCCAGCACAACCAAAGCACCTGATTTAATAGATCATATAATCTCACCTGATGCATACGTACCTAACATCACCAGAGCATTACCTAGAGTTATACGATTCTGTAGATTCAATTTTCCCCTCACCAAATCAACTATTTTAGAAATCTGTAAATTAGACTTCACCAAATACTTCTTTAATTCCTCCAATCCCACTACAATCGCTGCCGTCACTTCTGTCGTCCAGAAAGTGCAACCGACAGATTGTATACATTGTCCTGGCCACTTCAACACCCACTGCTCTCGCGGAACCTTCGGGTAGTCGATGATGGACGCTGCCACCATATTGTGCACCGATTTCTTCATGTCGGTTTCGAGTTCGACCAACCATTTCTCTACTTGGCCTCTGGCAAGAGCAGTTTGGATGACGTCCACCAGTGGAACGATTTCTCCTTCACTAGACCTCATCTGTGTCACGTCCAGGTCTTCAGTGAACGTTAATTTGGCTATGCCTTCGAAACATTTCTTCAGATGAGGTTGTACCCTTCAAATATGCAAATAAAACCAATTAGATTCCTGAGACTTCTTCCGAAAAGGCTTACCGTGTGGGATCCTTAGTTTCAGATAAGATTTCCAATAATTCGTCGTTAGACAAGAAGAAGAACCGTGGGAAGTATAACCGTTTCTTCTCTAGGTAGTCGTTCAGTCCCTTTTGGATCATTTCTAGGAGATTGTTACATTTCTTGAGTCTTTCAGCCATCTTGTCTATCTCCACGACGGCTAAGACTTTGCAATCGGCATTGACGCTTTTCATCACGTCCCTCCATATCTATAATCAACAAATGAAAGGACGGTACTTTTCCGTACATAGATGTCTTTGTCAGGAAGGAACCAGATGACACGTTTAAAGAAAGGGAACCCATACAGCCTAGGATCTTAATGAATCGAGCACAAGAATAAAGAGAAGAAACATCTTGCAGCAACATATATGTCCTATATACAAAGATATAGGGATAAAATTGGCAGACCCTTAAGAAAACTTATTAATACAATCTACAACAGTTGAAGGAGGATCTAAGATACCGGAGTAGGCAGCATTCCATGTAAATGTGGCAAAGTATACATTCGACAGAGAGACACGTTAGCTCGAGGTTGAAAACATCTAAAAATGTCAATGGAGATAAATAAGTTGTTGCAAATAGGCTCAATAGGCTTAAGCAAAATAAAAAATTTAGAAAAATCGGAATAATTTCAACTGAGATTACGTATGTACCAAGATGTATCTGTGTTTGTACAAACAAACTCTTAGTTACTTATGTAAAATTAATGAAAGTACTATTTTAATAACAATAATACACCAAGACAGGTACAGCGTACGACAATTAGAATAAGTATTGCAATGGTTCAGTAGTGTATTGTAATAAATGTGATGTGAATCTAGTACAGTACAAACTACGCGCATGTCATGACGTCACTAACGAGACTCTAACAATATCGAGGCATACCTAACCTATGTTAGCATTGGAATGCAACAACTTCCTGTCGTTTGCCTAACCAAATTTCCAGAGGTGTTACAACCTAAACATCTTCACATCGTTCATTATATTGCGCAAAACTGATAATACTTCTTCAAAATTTAAACTTGACACAATTTTTAAGGTTAAGTTCTTGTAAGACTCCACATACTTACAGGAAGTTGTTCGGCATATAGAAAAACATAATTTACAAAAAAGTTATTTTACAAACTGAGAAGTATTCCGCAGTAGAAAAAATAGAAAATGAAGAAGCTGATAGGGAGAACCAATATAGTGGAGTAAAGTTAGCTTAAAAATATGCATTATTTCGGATTAATTAGCAGAGCCTTGGATTTTCATAAAACCTTTTGCAATCGCCTTGAAGTGGCTTATAGAAAAAAGTTATAAAGTTATATTTGTACGCTAATTATTATTTAATTGTTTAAAATATAAAAATGGTTTTTCAAAGATTATTTTAAATAAATCAAAAAATTTCAAAGCAATTTTAATCAAATTAATACTAAATAAATTAAAAAATAAAAATTGAAAATGGCTGATAAAATATAGCCGACTTTTTTAAACAATTTATTAAAAAATTACAATTTTCAAAGCAATTTTAATCAAATTGATATTATAGGGGTTCTCGAAGTCGCTGAACAAGAATATTATATCAGAAAATAAAAATTCAAAATGGCTGATCCAATATGGTCGACTTTTTAAAAAAAAATTATTTAAAAATTACGAATTTCGAAGTAAATTTAGTTAAATTGACATTATAGGGGTTTTTGAGGTCTCTGAACAAGAATATTATATCAGAAAATGAAAATTCAAAATGGCTGATCCAATATGGACGACTTTTTTTAAAATTTACTTAAAAATTACATTTTCAAAGCAATTTTACTCATATTGCTATTTTTAGGATTTTTCAGATCATTGAACAAATAAAAATGAAGTCAACTCGTTAAATTTTAAAGAAATTTGTGTATGATGTTTAGGATTCTGCGGAAAGTCAATATATGGGATTCTTAATTAACAAATTTATTAAATATGAAAAACTATATTTGCATATTAAAAGTAGAAATATAAAAAACTAACAATATTCAATTTTCATTCTCTTGAATCATTGGAAGTTCCGGCAATTTGTCTGATTCTCGTTCTTCTTCGAAAAATGCTTGGCAATTGAGACAATCAGTTCCGGAACCATTAGATCATGCTATGGTGCAAAGTAGACCCGCCTTCCGGCAACCGTAATTATTAGCACAGCCACTTTTGCATCCGCAAAAAATCATTTTGAGAAGTTCACTTGGTGGTGGATCTTGAGTCATAAAAGTTGGAATCATACCCGAATCCTCTCGTTTCATAATGAAAAAATATAGGTAAAACTGAATCTCGCGACAATTTATTGAAAACCGTATTTTTTCGTATTTTATACAATATTATAGTAACAAACAATTTCTTTTTTCGTTGATTATACTTTTTTTAAGCAAAAAAATATTTTTTTAAACTTTATTTTGCAACAAATTTCATCGTTTTAGAACAAACCTTTTTTTTTTGTTTTCCTTGAAATTGTATTATAAATTCAACGTTTTAAACAAAACAAAATGGATCATCTTAAAGTACAGTTTTCAAGCTTCAAAAAATGCTCCTATAAAGTTGCAATATCATATTTTTGAACTAAAGTTATTGGACTTTGAAACGCGACTTAATTTGCCTTTTTTTAAATTATTGAATATATCGAGCGTTGTATTTTTAGAATTAAAATTTTAAGATTTTTTTTTATATCACTCACTATTTTAAATGCTATTTCAAGAGTAATCTCTGAATGTTTTAGATTTTTATCTTAAAAATTAAAAAAATGGCAGATCTTTAATTAATTTTGTAGAAAATTCTACCGTTACGTAACTTTATTTACACACTATTCCTGTAAATATATTTTTTCGATTTTAAAATTATGATAACTTGTTAGCTACAAGATTCCTCTTTCATTCAAATTTTTGTGGACTTAATTTGATCAAATAGATCAAAACTTATAACAAATTCAGTGGATAGCGCGCGAAGCCGTGCGCTGCTCGAGACCTGCGCGCAAGTGCCGAAGCTTTACATTTTCGTACGATTTAAAAATAAATTCTACAACCTACAGTTTTCATTTTAGAAAATAACTTTAAGTATATACATTTTTCATGTAAAATTTCCCGTTCTTTAGATTGGCGCAATTGGTTTATTTAAAAAAATTTAATTTGTTAAGATATACTATAAAAAATGGAATTTTGCAACTAATTTGTTAAATAAATGATCAAGCGTACACTCTACGGTTGGTAACCTTTTATATGTTGTTCATAACACCCTCACAAGTGTGTCCTCAAAAGTTACTCGATCTGCTAATTTTTCCGAAGTCAAAATCTTATTTTACTCCACTAATATGTGAATGAGTGTGTCCTGGCGCTGGCGCTGCCCGGACGCACCAGGGTTCCCGGAAGACGACCCCGGCAGATTGGCGCCAAGGACCAAGTACTGCTACGAACGACTCCACACCACGAGGACCGACTCTCCAGCAAACAGTCGAACCGACAACACGTCTTTTTCAATCAAATAGTTTATTTATACCGTTGAGAGAGCGTTTTATTTTTGCTGTACAGCGAAAGCAACCCTCAAGCGTAAGAATATAAGAAGATATGAAAATCAAGAAACATGTCATGAAACATTGAAAATATAAGGAAATAAATTTTATAGAGGAAACAGGTGCGTTAGATTAGAGCTTAAAATCACGTGAAATTCTAAAATGACTCATACCAAAAAACCATTCTTCTGAAGAAGAGGACGACATTTCTCTCGAAACGTCAAGAATTGTAAACCAACGAAATAACAACCAACTGGGAAATTGTCCAAACATAAATAAAATATATACATTTTACCTTGTCTACAGCACTAAACCTTCTACCTTCCTCTGGCATCTGTTGTTGAATATCCGGAGACGAAAATATGGGTTCCAGATACATCCACGTTGATTGTACCTTCAACCATTCATCGAGAATTTCCTGGAGCAACTGAAGCTTTGCCTCCCAATCCCTGCAAAATTTGAAAACGTGAGAATTAACTGGTGTTAATTGGAGTGGTCTCCAAGAAAATACTTACAGTATCTGAGCCTCGAAAGGTTTAATATAAGGCGAGTTCTTCATAGTCTGCGTCTTGATCAGGTGGTCGTCCAGCAATACTTGGATATCGTCCACAGCAGAAAGGATATACGTGCCCGTATCCTTGTACACCAAAACCGTAAACTCCATGTCCTTCCACTCGAATATCATCTTATTCAGGTTCTTCTCCAGGTTGTTCTCCTTGGTTGCGGCTTCGGATATAGCCTCGAACTTTTCTATGTAGTCGTCCAGGCCATAGTCGATGACCTTTTCCAAGGTAAGCTCATCGTCTACCTTTATGGGGAATCCTACGATTTCCGAGATCTTCTCCCAGTGGCGTTCCTTCATTCCTGGATTACCCAGAGTCTGTATTATAGGCATATGCTCCTTGAATTCCTCTATTTGCTCACGAACCTAAAAAAATATGTGGTGTGACGAATATACAAATGAAATTACTATTGGGAGTACCGTGGTGGCAAGATTGAGAGTCGCAGGCTTGTCGGTGAATATTTTTTCCAGCTTATAGATATTCCTGTAGTAAGTCCCTACATCGGTTTCGATTTCTTCTGGGTCATGAGAACCAACCCTGGACTTCATCCACAATTCGTTCTTCTCTAAGAAACCAACGGCGTTATCGTAAAGTTTCTTGTAAGGTCCCAATTTGTCATGAATTTGTTTCCTCAAGGGATACTGAGACGTTTCAAAACCAAAAGCAGCTTCTTCCTCGTTGAAAGCATCTATACGTTCCATAGCTTGAATTAATCTGAAAAATCCTTTATTGTACGACAAAATTCAAGCATCCCTAAGACTGTAAAATCATTTTTTGATGCAAACCCTACCTTTCATCAAGTTTCGTAGCCTTCTTATGGTATTTCGGCAAATCTTCAACGTCGCCGTTGTTCTGAAGTTCATCAACCATTCTGGCGTACAGTTCCAAATCCTCGGTAAATTTCTGAATTCGCACCTTAAGTGATTCCTGGAATTCGTCGCGTTTCGAATCAACGAGTTGCCGGTGCTCTTCGATGACCTTCGGCATGTGCAGGTACCTTAAAAATGTAATTAATCCAACAACGATGAAACCCATGGAAATTGTTATTTTACCATTGAAACGTAATGTTGTTCTGCTTCATTTCGACGGGTGTGAAGGTGCAATAGTCGCATAAGGCCAATATATACGCCATGACGTCTTTTAGGCGTTCCTCCATCTGTATTAAGGTCTTGGTCTCCACCTCGTCCACGAATTTTATAAGAGCCATTAGTTCAGCTGTGTTCGTGGGGATACTCAGCGCTTTATCTGCAATGGCTTGGTATTCGTCCCCTAAGCTAAAAAATGATCACAAATTATTAACAGAATGTGGGTACACACGTGTGCTGCAAGTGACCCAGTTTAAGTATGTTAAGAGCGCCAGCCTGACACCGGGCCGATCTGTTAGATCGAGCAAGCGACAAGAAGCAGACCAAAATGTGCAACGCGGGATACACAACTGTGGTTCCCGGAAAAGGACCACGGCAGATTGGCGCGAGGGACTGAATACATATACCTGCGAGCGACTCCACAAGAGGACTCTTCAACGAACACTCGCATCGACGACATTTCCTTTCACTACACTTTGTTTTCAATTTTATTTTACCGTTGAGAGAGTATTTCATTTTGCAGCACACCGAAAGCAACCCTCAAGAACATTGTATTTGATGGTATATGTTAGTATGCTACAGAAATATAATTATTAATTAAATTCTTAATGACGAAATCGTTAATTTTTTATTCTTTACGGGAGATTCGACTTTACATCAAATAATAAAGGAACTGAAATATACAACACATTTAAAAGAAGAAGAAAAACATGCGTACAAATTTTCCGAAACAATTAGGCTGCAATAAAGGCTTCCGACACAAATAAATTGTACTCAAAACTTGTGTGTTTTTTTTTGTTAAATGAACCGATAAGTACTAACATGGTCGGTCTATGTTGGGTGACGGGAGATAAAAGGCATTGAAGCATGATGTACTTGCAAAAAGGGGATCTGTAATGTCTATCCCAGAAACAGAGCCAGCTTTCAACTACCTTTAAGCATGGTTTGGGGAGATGAATTGGAAAAAAACATCGTGAATATATCCTGTGTCCGAAAATCAAGACAAGGTTATGTGAAGGAAAGTTAATCAAAAAAAACACTGTCGATTGACGAATCATCTCTACAGAGAATTAGCTAATACCACAGAATACAAAATTGTGACTAGTGGACTATTCGACACCATAGTACAACATGGGTAAAGTTTAAAGATTCAAGTAGATGTAGAATGTTGTTAGAGAAAACAACAAAGATCAACATTTGTGCCTCTTTGCTGACCCGTCTTCGTCTGGCTCCTCAACGACATCGACCGTTCTTGTTCTAGATTGTTACTGGTTAGAAAACTATGCCAAGAATACCGAGAAAAGAATACCTTATCTCTAAGAGTAAGGTAAAGAAGACCTCGTTTACTGCGAATGGCTTCCGAGGAATATAACCATTACTACTGAGGTTTTCTGCCAACTCCATCATCTCGAAGCAGCAGTTCAAGTAAAGAGGTCAGGAATACATCATCGAGCGATTTTGAAGTAAGATAACGCCCGCCGTCATATTGCTAACATCACAAAGGCGACTGTTCAGCAGCTTAGTTTGGACGTCATTCCACCTTGCTCCATCAGATTTGAATCTCTTGTGCTTTATATGGAATAACCTCAGATCAATCTCCTTTACTGACGACGCCACGCCTCAAATTTGGCTTGGTGCATTTATCACTTTTAAGCCACAGGATTTATTCAGGTGTGAAATACAAAACTCAGATCATTGGGTGGCAATCGTAAACAATGGAAGTGAATATATACAGTTTTAATGGAGTAGAAAAGCTACGAACTAATGATAATAATTAACCCGTTGAAAAGAACTGGGTCGGTCTCTCAGAGCTGTAATTGGAAAGAATAGTTTGACTTGGATATTTGGTGACTGCGAAGACTTTGGAAGCTTGATATTCAGACTTCCTTTCAGAAATGCGAGAAAATTATCGGTTAGCAAATTTTGAGTTTTGTAATGAAAACAAATAAAATATGCTACTCTAATACCTAGAAAGTGGGAAACGCAATAAGTCAAAACTGGCCTCAATACTTCAAGACTATAAAGAACTGACATTAAGCTGAAAATAATTACGTTTTGCAGACTAGTAGGTAATCCTTAACGCATCGCTCAATCAGCATATCCTTGAAATTCGCAGCGGCCGCCTCCAACCCTTTTATCAGGTCCACCCTGTGCATCTCGTACATCTCCATTCGTATGACGTAGTCAGTTTTGAGCGGAATGATATCTGTCAGTTGTTGAAATCTAGCGATCTGCTCCATGTACTCATCGAACTTGTGCTCCCCCGATAAAAATTTCTGAACGAATTCTTCCTCTTTGCCATTGACAAGTTGGAGGAACTCGTCAAAATCTTGAACCCTTAACTCCGGACCTATTCTTTGGTCTTCCAGCATACTCCTAATTCGTTTCTTGTAGCCTACAGCTGTCTCTTTGGGAATGATTGGCTAAAAACAATTAATTATAAATACGAGGGCATAGCTTTCACTAGATGGTTTGGTACTTTCAAAAATTGTTCCGGTCCCATCCAGTCCAAATAGAGCTTGGTTTCCAGACGTGGAATATCCTCCACCGCTTCTATTATAATATCGATTAATTTTAACAGGGCGTCTCTAAAGTTCTTGAAGGGTGGTTCAAAGGCAAGCATATCTCCTCTCTGCAAAAGCTTCACCTGGAAACCCTTGTTCTTATACTGAAAACAAATAAAATGCAATAATTGCATGTACCATAAAAAATCGGTTTTTATTCTAAAACATTACCTTTACGTCAGTTATGTAAGTTACGTAATCATATAATGACTTCAGACATAATGTCTGCAATTGATAAGTCATCACAGTAGCAACGGCGTTATAAAATGACACCATCTTCTTTGGCTTGCCAGGATCTGGCAGCTTATTTCTCTTACTGCCTTGTAGAAATATGTCAACCACTTCGGAGTAATAATTGTTCATGAGTGTCGCTTTGCATTTTTCTATTTGTCTATTGGTAGCGTACTTGAACTCCTGAAGGTCAAAAGTACCTTGGTGTTGCATTAACTCATCAACATCCACAAGGCGTAACTTTCTAGAAACAAATGTGACGGTGACGACAACGAAGCTTCAGTATTCGTAAAAGTTGGTAACATTAGTCATAATATTAGACAGAAAAAAATTATGAGAGATCTGTTCTGAAATATAAATAACTTGAAGATGAAGTATAAAGTTATGAAGTATAGAAAATAATTAGCTTTTCCCAAGTAGAATCTGAATTGTATTATATGTTCTGTGATCTGAATAGGTATTTATGGAACTATGTAGGGTTCCTCCTCTGATGTCGTAGATAATTAGAATATATGGTAATTTTGAAGAAGACATAAGCAATTAGTAGATAAGGAGATCGTTGGGTACATGAGGTTTACTAAAGCAACAAAAAGTTGACGAGATGGCAACACGTTGTGGACAGAGACGTAACTAACACAAATAAATACAACATGATTATTAGTTGAAACAAGTAAGTACCTGCATTTGGTGTACCATACATCTAAGAGAGCAGTCAAGCACGGATTGACAACATGCAAGTGTCTCTCCATTTTCAACTTGCCAGCTTCGTAGATGGGCCTAAAACTATTACCGATCTCTTTTAGTTCTTTCTTGAACTCTGATTCACCTTCGCTCAAGGATTTAACGAAAGAGTGATCTTGTAAAACAAAGTCAATAATTGCTTTCTTCACAGCTGTCATAAAATCTTCTTTTACGTCTTCTATCGATTTCGCTAAGGTTTCCTCCCAGACCATTAGCCGTCTAGGAACAAGAGATAGTACCTAAATTCGTAAAATAGAAAAATTGTAACTGATAACGATGAATTTCCATTCATATGTTTTAAAACAAAATAAAACTGCAAAACGGTATACCCTGCTTAAAACTTTCTCATCCAGTGGAGCAACATGGACTGTGTCGACCCCATGTTTGACATAGTAATAGTAACGCAACATCTCTCTTTCTTCTGCAGACGGAATTTCGTCAGGGCCAATCTCGCGCTCTTCATCTTTACTGACAATTAAATTAACTAATCTCCTCCTAAATTCTTCCCTCTGCTTTTTAAGAGCTGTATAAGATCGCAATTTAGAATCAAGATCAGCATCTGCAAACAATCTTTTATATTAAACTATCCTTAGACTATTATTACCCACCAACGTTTCTTTTTTTCCGCTGCAAATTTCTTTTTGTACTTTGGATGATGTGATGCAAGGATAGGTTTTAGAAGCTCTGGGGGTAAGGCAAATATAGACCTGTCATGGATATTAAAATCGGAAGGTAGTGATAATCTGGGTATTTTCAATTTCAAATCTCCTCTAGCCTCTAATTTGGCTCTCTTTTCCGCAATTTTCTTTACTAGTCTGTCTCTTTCTATATCTCTACCAGCCATATCTAGATTATTATTAAAAACATAATAAGTAAAATATACTTAGTTAACAAATAAAGAAATAATTTGAGGATATAGGTACATATACAGGGTGTCCCAGAATAAAATGTACAACGGAAGACAACAGATTCGTGGACTCAAAATAGGCAGATCTAGGCTAATCCACTTATATCCGAAATCACTTAAGTTTGGCCGCTAGTTGGCCTCAAAGTTGGTGAAAATTTTTTGAATTTTGTAAATAACTCTAATACTTATTAATCGATTTTGATTATTTTTGGGGTGTGGGCTTTTGCTTTCAATCTACACATTTTGGTGTTATAAGGAGTGTTTTTTAAAACCTACAACTCCTACAAAATAGATGTATGGTGATAATATCCGTTCATAACTTTTTCCTCTTTCGGGCAATAATGAGAACAATTTTTTATCGGATAGGTGATTTCATTTGGCAGTTTTTGGGCCTCTTGTAGAATTTTGATTAAATGAGCGGTTTGGGTATAAAAAATATTTTTTAAATGTCTACATTATCCTGCCACCCATATTATAATACTTAATAGTAGGCACTGATTTTGTAGGTTGACTGTAATTTCAGTCTGATCTTTAAGTCGTTGTGCCTGACAATTCTTAATGAGTGTTTACGACGATAAGATATATCACCTCTTACTTCATTTTTCGATATGGATACACACATACGACGAATTAGAGTTATTTACGATGCGCCTAATTTTAATCAAATAATTAGAAAAAACAATCAAATTGGTAGCATTATTGCTGAATTGGCCCTGTTATACTACCCAATAGACTGAATGGGGAATTTTATTTAGAATCTTTGCAAAATACTTTACCCGAGTTATTGGAAGGTGTGCCGTTATTACTCAGAGCTAACTTGTGGGTTATGCATCATGGAGCTCCACCACATTCCACTGTAAATGTCCGACAGTATCTGAACCAAAGATTCTCGCGTCGATAGATCGGTAGAAGGGATAACCCTCCTTTTAACTGGCCTGAAGGTTCACCAGACTTAACACCTTGCGACTATTATCTTTAAGGCAATCTGAAAATAACAGTGTATGCTTCCACATCTAATAAAAATAATCAAAATCGATTAATACGTATTTGAGTTGAACTTTGAAGCCATCTAGCGGCCAAATGAAGCGATTTCGGATGTAGGTAAATTAGCCTAAATCTGTATATTTTAAGTCAACGAATCTGTGGTCTTCCGTGGTACACGTTATTCTGGAACACCTCGTATATGTTAAAGAATTTTCTAAAGAGGATCCATCTGACATTGCCTATAGTTTCAGGAGAAATATAGCTTATCTTATAAAACTATAATGTTTTGTACCTATGGACTTAAATATTTGAGTAGCACTTAGACTTTTTATAGATGAGAAAACCGCTAACGCGGTTAATATAATTAACGGTGGTTTGACATTTTCACGATAAATGAAGTTAACTCGGTTTGACCGAGTTTGGTAAACCAGCACACCGTCACAGCCTCCTAAGGACGCCATACTTGAGGTAGGCTTGGATCATCTGTCTTTGTCT